ATATAATATCTCCAATAAATCTTAACTGATTTGCTATATAATAATTTTTTATATTACGAATACCAAAACCTCCATATTTTTGAGCCTTATACCAATATCTTTTATTTATTCTACATTTTTACCTTGATTGCAAAATCCATTAATTAATCCCTGCCAATGCTTAAAATCTTCTTCTAATTGTATTGGGAGCATCCTGAATAAAACAGTAATATTTGGTAATATTTTCATTTTGATCATGGCAATTCTCCCAAACCACAATAGTTTCAATTTAGAATACTCCTGCAATTTATTTTTAATATCATTTTTTAATTTATTAAAATTTTGCTCCTTTAATTTTTCAGTCACCTTGACTATATTTATACCTAAATATTTAATATAATTACACATTTTAAAGCCATATTTATTTACAAACGTTTCTTGTTCATGTTTACTATAATTAAACATCATTATTTATGTTTTTTTGCCAGTTAATAGTTAATCCTGTTATTTCCCCAAATTTTTCTAAATGATTTTTAATATTATCCATACTTTCTAATGGGTTTTTAATGATCAATAATGAGTCATCAGCAAATAAATTAATCTTAATTGTATATTTTTCCTAATCCTTTAATTAATTCATCATTTCTTATTGCATCAGCTAACAATTCTATAACCATACAAAACAATATTGGTGGGGCAGCCTTGTCTTCTGCCTCGGCCTAGAAAGATCCGCTCTGTTAAACCATCGTTAACTATTACTTCTGAAGTATTATCTGAATATAATTGATCTATAACCCCTATAAATTCTCTACCAAATCCCCAACCCTTTATAAGCAGCTTTAATGTTGGCCATTAAAGTATAGGTAAGGTAAAGGTTCCCCTTGACAATTTGTTCAGTCGTGTCTGACTCGAGGGGCCGGTGCTCATCTCCGTTTCCAACCCATAGAGCTAGCGTTTGTCCGAAGACAGTCTTCCGTGGTCACATGGCCAGCGCGACTAGACATGGAATGCCGTTACCTTCCTACATGGTGGTACCCATTTATCTACTTGCATTTTTACATGCTTTTGAACTGCTAGGTTGGCTGGAGCAGGGACAAGCAACAGGAGCTCACTCCGTCGCGTGGATTCGAACTTACGACTGCAGGTCTTCTGACCTTGCAGCACAGAGGCTTCTGCAGTTTATCCTGCAGCCCCACCACGTCCCTTCAAGTACAGATACAGTACTTGTTATTTATTTGGGGGCAAGATGTACTCTGTCCACACTGTTAGTTTCTACAGCCCTGTCTCCACCAATAAGCTCAATAAATAAAATAAATAAATTAAATAAATACCCTTTTGTCTCAGTTTTCCATGCTTTCTTTTAGTTCTTTCCTTTCATTCATCTGCCTCCCAGTGTCTTTTTCTTATCTTGGTTTTGTGTGCCACTGGCTTTCTGTTTCCCATTATTTTAGACCTGAAATTTTTATCTGAAACATACTTTGAAAGGCATTCATAATGAGACACCCTGCTTGTACATTACTTTTGTTCCTAAATGTTGTTAAAAGCCTCTCAGCACCTTTTGTAGAGCTGTTATGTAGTGTTAGTGTCAGTAGCAAAGACTTGGTTTTACATTTTTGATGGAGCTGAAGAGTCTTCACGTGATTAATGATGGCTTGAATGGACATGAACTACATAAGCCTCACCCAGCCTGGTGGCTTCAGATGTGTTGGTTTGCAAGTCCTATCATACCCAGCCAGATGTACCCAACTCCCTTAAGGACATGGAACTTGTAGTTCAGCATATCTGGAGGACACCAAACTCAGGGAGACAGACCTAGACATTTTAGGCTCCTGATATTCTGTAAAATGTTCGGAAGTTGTGTGAAATTTGTATTGAAGTCAAAAGAGCAGAAATATATCTTGTTAAAAACTCATGGGTGTATTTATAGGAGACACGAGTTGCATCAGAGCCTCGTGGCGCAGTGGTTAAAACGCTGTACTGCAGCTAAAACTGTGCTCACGACCTGGGGTTCAAATCCCAGGTAGCCGGCTCAAGGTTGACTCAGCCTTCCATCCTTCCGAGGTCAGTAAAATGAGTACCCAGCTTGCTGGGGGGGCAATGTGTAGCCTGTATAATTATAAAAATTGTAAACCGCCCGGAGAGTGCTTGTAGCGCTATGGGGCGGTATATAAGTCCAATAAATAAATAAACAAACAAACAGACAGACAGACAGACAGACAGACAGACAAATAAATAAATAAATAAATAAATAAACAAATAAATAAACAAACATAAAGATGTAGTGTCATTAAAATAGTTACCTGCAGTTTTCCCAGAAAACTTTTGGTTGCTGTTTGAAAAGCAAATGTATCTCTTTTGGGAAAATCTAGCAGAACTAAGTTATTTGGCAATGCAAATGTATAAAATCTGACAAGTATGAATCTTGTCTTGGATAGGTGGAATAATTTTTAATTCAAGGCAGAATCAGCATATCTAAAAGTTCTGGTTTTTTTCCTCTGCACGTTTAGCATAAATGTAGCTCACAACCTTCCTGCTAAGATGAAGAACAACTACATGTTTTGAAGGGATGCCTTATATATATATTGGACACATTGGTATGTGTCACCTTCCCCTGGTAGCAAGTTGCAGTGGTGGCAGAAGGGAAATTTTCTAGTAAATAAAATGCTTTTTTTGATTCCTTTCTTACAGATTAGTATTTATGTGTTCTGAATCTATAATGCTCTGTTATTCCTTAATATAAAATCAAACTTGCAATGCTCTTTTGAATGTCTCACTAAGTGTCACTCTGTGTTGTTGTTGTATGTTGTGAATTTATGTATGTATGTATGTATGTATGTATGTATGTATTTATTTATTTATTTATTTATTTATTTATTTGAAATGGTAATGTTCTTTTGGTTTGTCAGTCAGTATTGTCTCTAGTTTTGGTAGGATTTAATGATCTTTAAAGTCAGCAACATAAAGATAACACTTATCTCCTGTTTTTTCATTCTCTCAGTGGGTGAAATAATATTGGACACTTTATTTATGTGCCAAGTCAAGGCCTCTGGAATTGAGTGCATAGTTTATTTTTTAAAATGTTAGTAATGTTCTTTTGGTTTGTCAGTCAGTATTGTCTCTAGTTTTGGTAGGATTTAATGATCTTTAAAGTCAGCAACATAAAGATAACACTTATCTCCTGTTTTTTCATTCTCTCAGTGGGTGAAATAATATTGGACACTTTATTTATGTGCCAAGTCAAGGCCTCTGGAATTGAGTGCATAGTTTATTTTTTAAAATGTTATTAGGTTGGTACACACTTCAAAATATTGAACCAAAATGTGTAAGGCAAAATGGTATGATCTTTCAACACGACAGGGTGTGTCTAGTATTGAAATACTGTTCCAGCCTCTTCCTTTCTTGAGAAAAAGATTGTATGTGTAATAAGCAAGTGCCAATTTAATCTATTTCTGACAATTATGCACTGTGTACAGTGTAGAAGAGATAGAGACATAGTTTGGGTAGAGGCAGATAAGATTCCAACGGGAGGGGAAATTGTCTATATGTGTATATGAACAAGCAAGGTCTCCTTGTCCAAGCTTTCATTTGTTTTTTCTTGTGCATTCAGTGCTGTGACATGGTTTCATTTTGAGTGCATGTACGTGTTTGTGTTGTGTTCTTTTTTAGATATGGATATCAATGTCCGACTAGAGACAGAGAAGCGGACTTACACAGTGGGTGAACCAGTGGAGTTCAGATGCATTTTGGAGGTACAGAATGTTGCAAAGAGATACTTCTCCATCTCGTGGGCCTTCAACAGTTCCCTGATTGCCACCTTTGGGGCTAATGCTGTGCCAGTCCTTAACAATGAGTTTGCCCAGCGGGAGGCTCTGGGACAGCTGAAAGTGGCAAAAGAAAGTGACAGTGTCTATATCTTAAAAATCTATCGACTTCGCTTGGAGGATAGTGGGAAATACAACTGCCGAGTGACAGAGCGCTTGAAAACAACAACTGGTGAATTTATTGATGGAGAGAGCAAGAGACCAAAGAACACACCAATCACAGTCCTGCCCCTGAGTAAGCAGCCATCTTGCTTGTTCTTTGGATTACATGGGTTTGTGGGAGAAGCTGGGTTTAACTATGTTTGCTGGGAAATCTCAGATTTATGAGAGTAATGTGGCACTATATCCAAAAAACTGAGAGCAGTTGAGTGGAGTATTCTCCTGTTTGAATGAAATTTGGAGATTTGGTATGTAGCCCTTTCAGAAAGAATGAAACCTGCTGTATCTTAGATAAGTAATTGAGGGGTGTACAGTAAGTGCCATCTGACTGTGAAGAGGGAAAACTCACTGCTGTCAGTGCTCTATCGAGAAAACGCCTTAGAAGTAGTGCAAGTTGTCCCCCCACAAGTGATTTCATCATCCTGATGGATAGATGGGTGACAAATTTAAAAATCTTTAAAAGAATATGTTGTGAATGTAACACTTGGTTGGTACACACTGTACTACTATGTATGTGTATGTGCACCTATGTGCATGCAGCACTCACAACAGCATGCATGCCACACATGACAGATAAACAGACACAAAGCCAGACTAGTTCTATACATATACTCCCAAATAAGCTGAATCAAATAATTCTATAGCCTGACTGAGGTGGGAGGTGCAGTGGAGGGAAATCTTACCTAATAACTAACGCTCAACGCAGATGCAGACAAAACGAAGAGTAAATATAAAGAATTAAGTCACAAGGGATGAATCTGGTTTGTAATAAAGCTCACATAACGGATACATAGGCACTAACTCTACTCTTACCCACATTTTCATCCTTGGTTAGTGCAGCACTAAATAATTCCTGATACCAGGCTTGGTTCACTGCCCCTTCCAAAAGTACCTAGAAAAATCATTCCTTCAGTGGAAGCTAGAGATATTGCACCCCTATAGCCCCTCCCTCTTTGTTGCCTGTAGGTTAGATTTATGAAGAGCTGAGGATTCACCTGCAGCAGATACACATACCTATCAGGTATGGAGATCCTCTGTTGCATAGGAAATCGGAGGACACAATTACTAGTAGTGAAGCAGCAGGTGGAAAAGTGAAGCATAGATTTCCACATAGCTAAGTGACTACCTCTTCCACTTCACTCTTCACATTCAGTGGAATTCCTGGAGGGAGAGGAAGGACATTAGGACATATTTCCTCCCTTCTGTGTTGGAAATTGAACCTGCATAGACCTGCTTCACAGTGAAGAAGCAGCTGCTAGGCAATTTCAAGCAGATTCCTGTTGCCATCCTTTTTGACTCTCCAACGGTGAGAATCTTCAGCAAAATATCCACTCTACATTTTACATGACTGAAGAACTAACGAAGGGAGAAGTCATTGGGGCAGGAGTTGGGAACCTTTTGCCCTGCAACGATTTTGAATCAGAACTCCCATATTCCCTTGTGTGGGGCCTCTGGGATTTGAATTCTCCAAAAATCTGGAAGGACAAAAAGTTCCCTTGTCTTGTACACAGGCTGCAAAACTCCACTACTTTGGATAAGAAGAATGTGTGCTTTTAGATTAGATTAGGCATCCTTCAGTCTCGAGAGACTGTGGTAACATGCTCTGAATAGAGGACTTGGAGCAGCGTCCAGCGTGGCTGAGGAGGCCAATTCGAGAGTGACAATCCCTTCCACACTGAAGACAAATATAGTCTGTCCCCTGTCCAGCTTCCTGATTTTGCTGGTTTCAGGACTTTTTGCCTTGGCCTGCTGGACAAGGGTCTCTTCAAATTGGGAGAGGCGGTGATGCACCACCTGCCTCCAGGCTGAACGCTCAGATGTCCAGGTTTCCCATCTCTTGAGGCCCTCTCTCTCTCTCTCTCTCTCTCTCTCTCTCTCTCTTTCTATACATTATATATACTGTGTATACACACACACATTCTTCATATATGCATACATACGAATGAAGTGCAGGCTTGGATTTTTATGAGTCAAACCTCTATGCTTTCGCTTGCTCTTTCAACTGGTTAACTTTAAAAAAAAGTAAGACAAATGATAAGTAGTTTCTGAAATAGCATAAAACACATAATGACTGAGCAGAATAGTAATTGAAGGAAAAAATATTATATAAAGTCTCAGTCTTCTCTGCTGAAGAAAATGACATCTGCTATTAAGCCAATCAATCAATCAATCAATCAATCAATCAATCCCTAAATAAATAAATAAATAAATGGCAAGTTGATCAATTGTATCTTTTAAATTTACTTCCAGGAACATGTATAGAAATATGACTCTGGACATTTTCATACAGTAAGAATAAACGGAATTTTAAAAAAAGAAACAGATTAAAACATCACAGCTATAAAATAACATTTAGAAAGGCCTGGGAGAATCAGATCTTTTGAGCTGGATAATTTTCTGTTGCCTAATCAATGTTCTGATTTAACTTGCTTATTTGCCTTTTAAATTAAAGAGTGGTCTTAACCGACCAGATAGGCGGGATATAAATAAAATAAATAAATAAATAAATTATTATTTATTAAATTAAAAAGTAGAAACATTTTAGAAAAATAAGGTCTTGCAAAAAATCCATTTCAAATAATGTTCACATCCCATCAGTGATGCTAGGCCCCAGACCTCAGGACATGGAAGTTTAGTAATCACCAGCATTTTGAATTGTACCCACAAGCCAGAGAGGTTTTAAGAATTTCTAGAGGGAGGTGTCCTTCAGCACAATCTGATTAACAGTATAGAAGATACAAAAATAGTTCAGACATCTGATTTCTGAATCAGAGGAGAGAATTCTCTGTGAATGGCTGTGTGTGATGAGGCGTAACAGTCAAGTATTCTTCTGGTTAGTAAAAAAATATTTATTAAATTAAAAAGTAGAACCATTTTAGAAAAATAAGGTCTTGCAAAAAATCCATTTCAAATAATGTTCACATCCCATCAGTGATGCTAGGCCCCAGACTTCAGGACATGGAAGTTTAGTAATCACCAGCATTTTGAATTGTACCCACAAGCCAGAGAGGTTTTAAGAATTTCTAGAGGGAGGTGTCCTTCAGCACAATCATTAAATTAAAAAGTAGAACCATTTTAGAAAAATAAGGTCTTGCAAAAAATCCATTTCAAATAATGTTCACATCCCATCAGTGATGCTAGGCCCCAGACTTCAGGACATGGAAGTTTAGTAATCACCAGCATTTTGAATTGTACCCACAAGCCAGAGAGGTTTTAAGAATTTCTAGAGGGAGGTGTCCTTCAGCACAATCTGATTAACAGTATAGAAGATACAAAAATAGTTCAGACATCTGATTTCTGAATCAGAGGAGAGAATTCTCTGTGAATGGCTGTGTGTGATGAGGCGTAACAGTCAAGTATTCTTCTGGTTAGTAAAAAAATTGTAAGTGAATATCCCTGTGCATTGATTCTTATTTCTAGCTTTGTTGAATTTCAAGTATTTTATGGTCATTTCATTGTTCTTACTGTACTGATTTATCTTGTCTACTGCCCTGTTATATTTTACCATGAAGGTGATCTGTGTATAGTTTGGATAAATAAATACTGTAATATCATAAGTAATCCATCGCCATTCACCACTTTTCCCCCATATGTTCACTCCTGAACATTTCCATGCATAGAATTGGTGTACATAATACAGTATGTTATCCAAGGATACAGAGATGCACTTGGCAGGCTTTTTTCTGCTATTTCAGTCGTGTTTTCTGGAGCTGGTTCAATAATGGGAATCACTTTAGCGCAGTATACTTGTTTACTAGGAGATCATATATTAGATTTTTGCACATACCCCATATTAAGTGTGTTGGGAACTTTTATGTGAAGAAGAGTAACCAACAGGAGATTTGTATGAATTGCCGCCTCCCAGAAAAATCCTCACCTGTAATCACGTGTTGACTCCTTTTACCACAGAGACCAATATTTCAGTGGAGGTGTCCAACAATGCTACCAGTGTTTTAGAAGGGGAGAGCCTTCGATTTGGTTGCAGTGTCCGCACAGGGTTTAGACCTCAAAACCGACTTTCCGTGACTTGGCAACTTGTGGACAAGCAGAACCGTCGCAGTGACATTGTGCACCTAGACCGTGATGGCACCCTTCACCCAGGCCCTGCTTACGCTGAACGCAGTAGCTATGGTGGGATACAAATGGAACAGATACGGCCTGGGTCATTCACGTTAGAGATCTTCAACAGCCTGAAGGCAGATGAGGGCCATTATGAGTGTCGGATTACAGAGTGGACCCGTAGGTTGGATGGAGAGTGGCAGATGATCGGAGAGCGACATAATGGCTCAGCAGTATCCATCACTGCATTGGGTGAGTGTGCACATTTAGGTAATGTTAGTGAATGTAAGACCTGTGCCACCACAGAAACAACCTCTTTCTCACTGAGAAATTCTTAAGAGTCCTAAATTGGACCATGTTCAGTTTTTTTAATACCTTACTGCCTTTTAATTGTCTTTTGATTCGATACCAGGTAGCTGTAGTTGAAAATGATTGATTTGTTGGCTACTTTCGGAGATGTTGGCAAGTCTTTGGGTCCAAGGACGAAGTCCAAGTCTTTGGTACCATATACCAAGTCTGAGTCTTTGGTACCAAGTCCTGAGTCTGAGTCCCTATCAAAAATGAGCTTTTTTCCCCAGAAAAAAGAGGGGTGGGTGGGTTCCAAATCACAAGTTGAGCCTGAGTCATTTGTGGGAGGGGGGAAACTGAGTTGAGCTACCAGTGTGACTTAAGTCTAACTTGAAAGTGAATCCCATGACTTGAGCCCCCATCCCTGGTTATTATATTGCAGTTACCATTTCATAGCTGCCAGTGGGAATCTAGAGTAGTTATCTGCTTGATGCATTCAGAAATGATTGATGACCGTTGTCTGGTTTGATCTTTTAAGGCACAAAACTTCAAATGGAAAGGTTAGCATTTTGCATAACAGTTCATCTGGATTGAATTTAGCATTTCCCTAACTGCCTCAAACTATTTTATGGATTTTTTCGACCTGTAGTGCATATTGAAACATTAACAACCCAAAACAGAGATGAAAGCTATTTTTTTCCATTGTGCTGATAGCCATGCTCATAATGGTCACTGAATGTGTTTTGATCTTTTCTGCCTCTCAATTGATATTCCATAACAACAGATGCAGTGTCAGTTCTGCCTAGTACTGTGATGATTAGCTATTTCACTGCTTGAGAGATGGCACTTGAACTGCTTCTGGTTTTGTACAAGCCATTTCATCTTCTAAACTAAAACAAGGAACTTTTTCTGAGGTCTAAAAAATCACATTACCTTATTTTACCATCTGTCCTGGGCTTGTTTATATCTCTTCCCTTTATGACAAAAGAAATAAATATCTTGCAACTTTATTATCCCCAAAATAGGTGAAAGAGATGTTTCAGCTAAACAACTATGAGACAAGCAGTATTACAATTCATGTGTCAAAATCCTATTAGTTTTACACTGGTATAAATCTTAGCCCTGGACTGCCTCAAGTTAAGAAAGTAATTAGGTATTTGCTGTGACTTGGTGCACAACAGCAAAGGCCTATGTTAACTTTTTAACTTGCAAAATTTGCCGCCAAGGCTTACACCAGTTGTGTTCCTCCAGTGCAAGAACTCAACAGGAGTTTGACCGTGCTTCTTCAGGCAGATGCACAGCCATGTCTGGGAAAGCAACACAAGCATTCTTGCTCTAGAAAACAAGCAATTGATGGCCCTTCCTGGTCTGTTATTCCTTTTCTGTGAGGCAGCCACAAATACAAGTTTATTAGAAATGATTTGGACTGAGTTTTCTTTGTGAAGATGTGCAGATGTATTCCACTGATGAAACCAGCTTAAGTGCATCAAACCTAGACTGGATTCAGCCCACAGGCCCAAATCCTGTTTGTCTTTATAAGTTAAACTGTATAAGTCACAATGGCAAATTGCTGCTAACTGCTAAGTAATGAGGACTGGTCACATTCTTAGATACATACCTGTTGAGCAGTTGGGCACGCGCATCGTAGCACAACCAGCACCTTGTTAGTTAGTGGCAATTCATTGCAGTGTGTTATGCAACTTAACTTACACACTCTTAAGTCACCAGCAGAATTCTGGTTACTGCTTCTATGTCTTCCAAAGCAAAATTAATCTTCTTGGGTAGGCATAGCTTTCTAGCTCATGTTTTCTTGTACAGTACATGAGAAGGTAGATAGAAGTCCCTCATCCTGCTTACTTCTGTTCCAGTATGCACCTAGCCCTTTTTACCATGTTAAGCTTATTTCACTCACCCCAGCTAAACTCTGAAGCTGGCTAAGGGAAAACGATCTTGAGTTCATCTGCAGAGGAAAAAGCAGTGTGTGAGAGAAGTTGGGGCTCTCTGATCTGTCACCAGGCCCATTCCCATGACTTCTTCCTGATGAGTGCTTAGGGCGCTCCTTGCATTACTCCTACCTTGACAAATATGGGTTTCCAAAACAAGTGCCTTGGGAATAAAGCTGAGAAATGTTTTTGAGGTAGGTAAGTCTAATAATTGTTGCCTGAAAAAGTGAAATTTCTAAACTATGGCTGAGAATATAAAGAGTCAATAATATATGGTCAGCAGTGGCAAGTGTTGGTGTCTTCCCACCCTCATTGTTGTAAACCATTAATTGTAATTACTATTGACACGTCACCCAAAGTGGTCTACAGATAGGAAAGGAAACTGCTTTTAAATTTTCTTGGCCTCTAGAGCCGCTAGAAAGCAGCTAATGAGCTTACTGCTTCAGATCTCAGCCTGCCATCTGAGATAGGATGATGGCAATCATCACAATCATTTTAGAACTACAGAGCTGGAATAGATCCTATGGATTGAGGCCAGCCCCTGTCAAGGAGGCAGATTAGGGAATCAAACACAACAACCTCTGGCTTGACAGCCAGAAACCCTAGACCACAGAGCTTGAATGCCTGGTCCCCAATGTGTGAAAATTGCAAAATCAGCTGGGATGCTAACAAATTATGGTTTCGAGGGCCTATTGAAGTAATTTCTCACTTAATTCAGAAAGGAAGGGTTGAGGGAGAAAATAAAAATCTAATGTTATGAAACATGCACAGATGATTTATCTGTGGGCTGCAGAAGGGCAGCTGGAGTGCAGGAAGGCAGTATGATACAGAGTTCAGGAATTTTCAGCAAAGGGGTTTTGGGACCAGGCAATAGATGCAAGGAGTTAATTATGGCTAAAGGGTTATGAGGGGTAAGCCCTGTAGAATTCACCTGTATCTAGATCTGATTGAGATATGAGAAGTCATTGTGGTATGAAAACATAATTATGCAATCACAATGCAGAATCTAAGCAGTTCTAATCCTATGGGTGGTCTTTATAGAAGACTATCTGGTAATTTTTATGTATGTCTGCCTGACCAGCTTGCAGGAAGAAGAGAATATATATGGAAACTAAAATCAGAAATTCTGCATCTTCATTCACATATGCAGTTCTGCCAGATAGTTCCCTAGGGAAACTGTCCTGTTTCTTCTGGAAATTCACAGGGTTGTAAGAGCAGTTTGCTTTGTGAGTGGGGGGCACCTCTTTGTCCATCTTTGGGCAGTCACAGTTCATTGATTTATATGACTAGAATGTAGAAAAGTTACTCATTTGGACTACAAGTTCCAGAATTCTCCAGGAAAACCTGCCATCGGTTTTCCAAACTCTGCATTTGAGATGCTACAAAATTAACTCCCAGTCCCTGACTTAGAGGTCTGTTTGTGTTGTACATGCAAGAATAATTAGTAGTTCAGACATGCATTCTCCAAGTTCAGCGCTGCCTGGGGAGACGTCTTTTCATAGTCCTCAGTATCAAAACAAAAGCATCTCCCACACTCTAGTGTCAAGTATTTGCGCCTGACCTCTCTGCCCTGACCAGTGCCTAAAGGTTCATTTGCTCAGTAGGTCGAAGGCCCCAATCATGCAGTCTAGTGAGAGAGGAAGAATGCAGCCTCTTTGCCTTCCCTGGGTCTCTTCCTTTCTCTTGGATAATCATTAAACACATTTCGAAAAGGCTTTAATCCCAAAGATTGACCTGTTTTTTTGCTGTAATTACATGGTCGGAGCTCTGCCATTGGTGACGTCCTTTGATGATTAGAAGCCCTGAGCCCCTTGCTGTAAGTGTGCAGAGGTTTCTGTAGCAGCTCTGGGGCAAGCCTGACGGGCAAAAACTAATCTGCTTGTTGCAATTAATGCCGCAACTGCGTGGCTTTGTTAATTAATATCTTCCTGTTTTCAGTTCAGGAGATAGAGTCCTGGGCAGCAGCAAAGATCTGGAGGCTACTACCTTAACATCGTTGTGTGTAGCCAGACAAATGGAACTGTCATCTTGCTGCAAGCACATAGAAAGGCAGAACAAGAAATTTGTTCTGAGCTTCATAGTGTGTATTGTAGCTTGGAGAACAAATCTATTATTTTTATGGCGTGTACAAGTTTATTGCATGGTCCCAAGAGCTAAATCCTGAGGTTCATGGACTCCATATACATGTGTTGCCATGTCAGTTTGCACTGTGGTTGGGGAGGAGGGAATTGGTTAGCAGCAACATAACGTGTATGCCTGTGGTGCAATTATTTCCAAAGTCATAACGCACTTTTACTCTGCAAGTAACAACCCAAAGAAGATTGGTTGGGAGCAAAATGTAGCATACTTCATAGTAAGTAGGTGCTCTGGAAAATGGAATAATTTGTCTCAAATTTTCTGCCAGTGAGCTCTCATTAATGAGAAAGGACTACCTAACAGGAGGATGGCTTCCTTCTCTAAACGAACACTTATAAAGCTCTCCATATAGTGCTAGTGTACATTACACCTGTCTCACAATCATTTTTATTTTTATGCTCCTTTTCTAAATCATGCACACAGCAGTTAGTAAGAAACTTAAATAAATTAATAGATAGACGAGACAAACGCAAACACATTCATTAGTGTATTTCATGAAATTGTAAACTTTGTCAGTGAGATAACAAAGGCATTATAATTAAAAATTTCCTAAGTATTTTAATAGATTTTTAAAATAAGTTGCTTCAAAGATATCCACATTTAGCTATCAAATACATCACTAACTAATCCAAATCATTAGCATATAAATGTAAAAATATTGTTTAAACCAGTAAAAGTAAAAAATTTATCAAAACAGCACCATTATAATAAAGCAGGAGGCATCAGGAGTATATTAATCTTAGTCATCATAAAAGCATCAGGAGACATGCCCATATTTTCAGTTCCTCGACAACCCTCAGAGTCTGTCCCAAATTTGTTCTCAAACAGTAGCTCGGCAGCCCATCTTCCACTTGAACCCCATAATTCCCACTTAAGGCATCCTCCACTGTGAGCTGCCCTTCTTCCCATCAGAGAAGCACTTTCAGTCAGTAATGTGATCTCAGTACACAGTTGAATCTTAGCTGCTGCATTTTGGTTTGGTTAAAGCTTATTAATGTTCTTTAGCTAGGGTAAGCTCACACGTATTACATTGCAGTAGTAGACTAAAGGGGATGTGACTACAGAATGAATAACTATTGGCAAATCAAAGTAACTCAGGAAAGTTGCAGTTGTCCATGCCAAACAGAATTGCACAAATGTACTCTGCCATTGTCACAAGCAGTTAACCCAGAGACCTTTGGGTAGTGTGGGCAGCATATAAATTAAATAAACAAACAAACAAACAAACAAATAAATAAATAAATAAATAAATATAGAGAGCACTGCTACACTGAAAGCATCTTATTTTTAAGCTATGGGCAAAAGCAAGAAGACAGAGTTGAAGTTTTAAAATTATGGTTGTTGTGGGTTTTTTGGGCTCTCTGGACGTGTTCTGAAGGTTGTTCTTCCTAATGTTTCGCCAGTCTCTGTGGCCGGCATCTTCAGAGGACAGCACTACAGAGACTGGCGAAACGTTAGGAAGAACAACCTTCAGAACACGGCCAAAGAGCCCGAAAAACCCACAACAACCATTTGATCCCGGCCATGAAAGCCTTCGCGAGTACATTTTAAAATTATGTTTGCCACCTGACCTTTCAAACCCGAAATTCTGCCAGAGACCTTGAATTTTGTCAGTGAGCTTTTAATATCACCAGTTCTTAGCTTGCCCTTTCAGGGGCAGGCGTGTTTCTGTGGAGTTTAGGAGAAATATCGTTTTGGCCATTCCCATTGCATATGTGCATTCACTGTCTAAGGGGCGGCGGGGGAGAGGGGAGACAGTGGTATAACATTGTGTGACCAGAAGTTTGGAAACTACCTTATTCCAAGTGCATGAGTTAACATGGCTGCTTTCTTTGTCTGTTTGGTTTTTTCTGTTTGTAGATGCTGGTTTCGCTGTTACAGCCATCTCCCGCACCCCTGGAGTGACCTATAATGAGTCATTTGATTTACAATGCATCATCAAGCCACATTACCCATCATGGGTTCCCGTGTCTGTGACATGGCGTTTTCAGCCTGCTGGCAGCACTGAATTTCATGATCTAGTTACTTTTACCCGGGATGGAGGTGTTCAATGGGGAGACAAGTACATTGGGTTCCGTACCCGAACAGCTATTGAGAAGTCTGAGTCCAGCAACAATGTGCGCCTGAGCATCAGCAGGGCAAGTGATACAGAGGCAGGCAAGTACCAATGTGTGGCAGAGCTCTGGAGGAAGAACTATAACAGCAGCTGGACACGGCTGGCAGACAGAACCTCTAATCTGTTGGAAATCAGAGTCTTGAGGCCTGGTAAGTACCTGATAATTCCAAGAGACTAGTAGAGGGCCATCAGCTTGAAATCTTGTTCTTTCTTGAGCATGAAATTATTCCATCACTTAGACTGTTCACATTTAGAGAAGTTTTTTATTTGAAGCACTAAAATGTTGCTATCCATGTTTGCCTTGTGTTGATTTTGAGATGCAGTATTAATCAATATTTATATCTTCATAAAATAATGTGACTATTTATAACTGTGGCGCCGCCCACGGCACTCATGTCATTCATATTCATGGGCTGATTTGCATGAACCTATGAGAGGGCTGGAGAGGCTGAGTCAGCAGCTACTTGAGGCTTGGCGGGAGAAGGAGGAGTCAGACAGAATTGGGATGAGAGGCAGAGAGAGAGAGAGAGCTGGTTAGTCAGAGGGGGGGCAGATATTGAGAGAGATAGAGCTGGTTAGGAAAATAGATGGAGAAGGTGGTAATGATATAGCTAGAGAAAAGATGTATGTACTGAGAGGACTGTTGATGAATTGCTTATGTATAATGTGTATCTGAGAAACTTCTGCTTAATAACAGAAAGTTCTCAGTTGGTAATCTGAGTCAGTCTGCTTCACTTCAATAAATAAGTTTTGTTTCTGTTCACAAATCAGGTGTTCTGACAAACGTTATTTATGTTGTGGATTGAGGTAATCCACTGGTGGCAACAAGAAGAAAACATGACGTGAGCCTTTGTGAAGGAAAAACAAGCAGGGGCCACTAGGGCAAACATCACAATAACCTCACAAAAGTAAGGCAACATTACAGTGGTGCCTTGCTTAACAATGATAATTGTTTCCCAAAAAAACATCGCTATGGGAAAACATCGCTAAGCGAAACACCATTTCCCATAGGAATGCATTGAAAACCGGTTAATCCGTTCCAATGGGAATGGATTACCATCCTTAAGCGAAAATCCCCACAGGAAACATCACTAAGCGATACAATGTTTCCCCCATTGGAATGCATTGAAGCCTATTCAATGCATTCCAATGGTTTTGTGATGTCCATTTTTGCAATTTTAAGTGTGCCTTAAAAGGTTCAAAAACGGTTTTAAATGCTTGGGATCGTTAGTGCACCTTCTAAAACAGCTGTCAAACCTGCAGTTCAATGCTTTCCAATGGGGGGGGAATTCACCAAAAATTAACGAAGACTCAGAAGAAAGCCAAATTAAGTTTGCAAAGGCTTTGCAAGGTGTACTAACGATTCCAAGCATTTAAAACCGTTTTTGAACATTTTAAGACACTTTAAAAATAGCAAAAACGGAACATCACTAAGCGAAACAGGGGACCTAAAACTTTCATTGCTAAGTGAGGCAAGGTCCTGAACATCGCTATGCGAAATTTCCCCATAGGGAACATCGCTAAACGGAGCGCAAAATCACTCCAAAAACCTCATCGCTAAGCGAATGCATTGTTAAACGAGGCAATCGCTAAGCGAGGCACCACTGTAGTTTCATTCTGTCACGTTCCCAGGGGGTTTCAACAGGCAAAAGTCCAATAAGCCTGTCCAATATAAGAAGTCCAGAAGATGCAAAGCAAATAACAAAATGCCAAAGCCAAAACACAAACCATAGTCAGAAGTCAGAGTCCAAAGCCAGGGGTCCAGAAAACAAGGTCCAAGATAAGCAGGAGCGTGGATGCAAGCCAGGGTGTTGACCTGTTGCTTCCAGAAGCTTCCAAGCCTCTGGGTGCAAATTTTATAGCAGCAGCCGCAGTCATCTAAACACTTCATCCTGCTAAAACTCAGGGCTAGTCGACCTTATGTTCCTATGGGAACCATTCATGCGAGCCTCAGACCTTCGTGTCATGAGTCCTTGCCGAAGCTTATCCCTCACTCTGGCTACTGGGGGAGGAGAGAGAGAGAGGAAGAGAGAGCATATCTATTGGTAAACACTGTGTCTGCTGTTAAGATGAACTGTTTGACAGAGATCAAGTTATGCTCTTGGTTTATAACTCTGCTGGCAATTTCAGGGTTCCATGGTGCATCTGAAATGTGTATCTTAGAACTATGCTTCTCCCTTCAGCAGTGCTGGTGTTATGCAGTGGCAGACCCATGTGTAGTTCAAGAGCCATATATGACTCTTTTGCCCTCCTAAATGTAACCACAAAGCATAAACAGGCAATTCACACACACATTTCTCTCCACCAACCTGCATCAACCTCCTTGCATGCCCAGCACCCTTCCCACCCATCATGTGATACCACCATGACAGGAGAAGGGGCCAGCTGACCTGCCACAATCAGACAGGGGCTGCAGCACTGCCAGCAACAGTAAACCCAAGAACCGCATTTCTCAGGCTATTTAACAGTAATGTATTTGTGTGTGTGTCTGTGTCTGTGTCTGTAAAGGAGAGAATTCTCTTGAATGGAAGCATTTATTTATTTATTTATTTATTTATTTATTTATAAAAACCCAAGTATAACCAAAATCATGTTGCTCAGATCTGTGCAATTCAAGGAAGAAGCATATTTCATTTCTCTTTTCCTTACTCTGGTGGCTCACATACTAGACAGAGAAACATGCATCTTCTCTTGAAGCTGATGGCTCAGTGAGTGTTGTGTAATGGTTGAAACCCTTGTCTGACTGCTGCTGAATTCTCTAAAACGTGGTACATAAGACTTGTGAAATGTTTGCTGCCAATGCAGTTAGCAAGATTTAAGAGGATTAATTGCTAATCTACACTGAAGAAATTACCAAGAAGTAGTTGTCCTTAGAATGTGCTACTTCAAAAAGTATTTGTTGAATCACAAATGTTTTTGAAAGTAATTACAGTAATATTGAAATATTAAATATGTTACCTGTTATGTTAATAATATTAAACATTATTCTTTAGGTGTATCTGTTGGATTGTCTTCCTGTTTAATGTGAAATTAATGCATCATTTCTAGGTTCCTGGTTGTTTTTCAAAATAAGACTGAACAGCTGTGGTCCTCCAGATGTTTCAGGACCTCAGTTCCCATCATCCCTCACTATGGGTTGTACTGTTTTGAGCTGTTGTGGAACTGGAGACCAGAGTTGCCACTGTGCTGAAAACCAGATTTAAGACTTAACTGTAGTTTGGCTAGTTTCTGATATAACAATAAACTGCAGCTGGTTATTAAAAAAGGAATGAAACATTCTGATATCCCAGCTGAGGCAGAGAAGGTGATTAGTCTCATTTTGAAACTAAATTATAGTTTAGTATTATGTTTAAGCAAAAACACTCCCTATAGCCAGAAGAAAGCAAAAGAAACCAAACCTTTAGGCATTTCAGTTAAAACTGTCTGCTATATAAGCTTAGCTCTCATGGATAACTCTGTATGGTGGAATTTTGCAGTTTTCATTATGGGAATGAGTTATATCAAAACTGGCAACTTCAAAAGTATTCCTCCTTTATAAATATTTAAAATAAGAAAAAATAAGAAAGAACAATGTCTGGTAGGCAATGTAGCCTGGCCCAAATAAGAAGTCAGGATAAGACATACAAAAGGCTTTGGAAGAACCTGTAAAAACACGTTCTTCTAATGAAGCTTCTTTCTTATCCGCTGCTTGCTGTTGATTACCTCATCCTTTCATAAGACATGTCAAGATTTAATCAGTGCCACAGGATAAGACAAACACGTCTGAAGGGCTCAGACAAGGACAGCAGACCCACATCAGGGACAGAGCATGTGACAGATGGCTGCATGGTGGTCTATTGAGCAAAGATCTTTATGTATGATCCCTGGCAAGGAATTGTTTTGAATGATTTGTGCTGGTATTAAATTGCCACAGACTTCATCTGTGTTAGTGCACTTAAGTTTTCAAACCTGAGCTGCATTAAGATTTGGAAAACAGCACCATGGATAGAGGTGGACTACATATACGCGCAAATCAGGAATGTGCCACTTACAACAATCAGTAACCTTTGTTTTCTACCTGTATTATTTATTTAGTTGTATGTTTTTTTGTTTAATTGATTAATTTATATACCACTCCATTAGTGCAACCACTACTCTGGGTGGTTTAAAACTTAAGCTCCATGGAAACCCACATAACAGAATACATTCAGCGATATAGTGATCTAGCAATGTGGGTCTAAAAATCATTTTAAAAAATAGAATCAACATTAAAATTAATAGCATCCTGGAGAATCAGTTGTTGAGGGCAGCTTTGAAGAATTCTGCTTTCATCAATTTCCTGAATTATAAAGAGGGAAGGAGCCAGGTATATCTTAGTTGGTAAATTATTCCAGAGACTGGGGGTCACCATAAAAGAGGCCCAATTTCTTGTCACCTTTTTGGCCTCTCTCAGTGTGGCCCCTTTTAGCACCATGGACTGAGAGGAGGAGCCGAAATACATAGCTGATTTCTGAGACAGAAGTTTCAACAATATTGGGATCCCAATCCATTAAGAGCGTTAAAGGTCATAACCAGCACTTTCAGTTGAGCATGGGAACGAACAGGGAGCCAGTGAACATGCTCCAGGACTGGGGATATATAATTGAATGAGCTAGTCCCATAAATCAGTCTGGCTGCCACATTTTAGACTTACTGAAATTTCCATACTTCTATCCAAAGAACTCATGCCTTCTTGCAAACTCAGTGAACACTGTCACATTCTGGTGGGTAGCTAAGGATTAAAAAGTATTTTTGTAGGTTAGAAAACTGACTGCAAAGTAGTAGACAAAACTAGAGTTTTTCAAGTGTGGATTTAAAACATGGAAATGCTGTTTCTTCATCTCTCACACCATGCCATTATGATTTTTCCTATTGCTACAAATTATAAAGCTTGAGTATTTCTGGAAGTACTTTAGCAAAAATGGCACAAGGCCCTGTTAGTATCAAAATTTAAGGTCAGAATAGATATGTAACGCTTCTGATTGGATCATCATATGCTGGAAAACCTGTAAAAGCCTTTTAGATATAAATATGAGGGGGGAAATGGGTTGCCAGCATAGGAAGCCAAATAAAATTAAAAAGCATCTAAAGGCAATGCTAAACCAATCTCTAAAATCAGCTTCTGTGCCAG